AAAAAAATCCTTACAAGTTTGACTGAAAAAGTTGCCCTAACTCCTCTCATCATCACATAACTATGATCCTGTAATAATTTTCTATTATAATCTTACCTCCGGATACCCTCCCCTCTAATTTGTAGCGCACCCTATCAGCTTATGTTTTTCCGCAAGACTCTTTGGCATCCCTACCTTACACAAAACCCTCCCAAAAGCTCCTCACTACCTATAGACTAGTTTGGACATCTCTATTTCATGATGTATCAATCTGAGTATACCATCTAAACTTTTTATTTACACAGAACCTCTGCTCTAGAAGCTCTTGCGTTTTCTAGGATAGGATATACCAAATTAAAATCTATTTTCAGCCTTGCATTTCCGTCCTACTCCCTGTGGTATATATACTATATCCGCCCAATCCATATCCCATGAGGCAAATATTTCTTGAGCATTTACTGTTTCCAAGCACAAAGCCACCCATCTCAAGTTCCACACTTTTTCAAGCTCTTTCCTTCCATCTGTAAAGGAGATTTCCTTCTTAATGACTCTCCTCCATTTAACACGCAGCTGGAGAGAAAATGAGCATTTAGTCCACCGTTTAAAGTCGTAACTAAGAGATAAGTTAAATGAGTGCCACAGAGAAATGCCAGTGTTGAAGAAAAAGAGCTCATGCATTCCTTCATTCTATGGTTGAAAAATTCTCATGTGCCAAACACTATTCTGGGTATGCTAGACAAAGATCCTGTTCTCATGGAATGTGACTGCATGTGTGTTGAGGGGAAGGAGGTGACCAACACTGAACATGCCAACACAGAATCACTTCACACCCTGACAAGTGCTTAGAAGAATACAAGTTTGATGTGTTAGCAAATGATCATAAGAGAACCACTTCAGAAAAGTGGACAGTGGCTCAGCACCTATAGCTCAGCAGCTAGGGCGCCAGCCACATACACCAGAGCCAGCAGGTTTGAATCCAGCCCAGGCCTGCCAAATAACAATGACAACTACAACCAAAAAATAGCTGGGGGTTGTGGTAGGCGCCTGTAGTCCCAGCTAATTGGGAGGCTGAGGTAAGAGAATCACTTAAGCCCAAAAGTTTGAGGTTGCTGTGTGACACTACAACACTACCCAGGGCAACATAGTGAAACTCTGTCTCAAAAAAAAAAAAAAAAGTTTCCAAAAGCTGGGAAAAGGCGCCACTGGGGCTGTGATCTCATCTCCATGCCTGACCCCCTCCCAGGACCGTGATGCCAAGGCTGCTGTAAGGGAGAAGAGTCAGGGTTGAACCCAAAGCTGAGTTGAAGGTTCACGCTCTTCCGGTTTCCTGGACCTACCTCCACTTGAAGAAATAAGTGGTGGACTTGCTCCAAGTTAGAGCACAGTGTTATGTGTCCAACTTGCCCTTTTCTCTGACAAACAATGACACATACAGGATATTTTCCAAGTATGGCAAAGTTGTAAAAGTTACTATAATGAAAGATAAAAATACGAGGAAGAGTAAAGGAGTTGCATTTATTTTATTTTTGGATAAAGACTCTGCACAAAACTGTACTAGGGCAATAAATAACAGTTACTTGGTAGAATGTTAAAACCAAGCCATTGCTATTGACAATGGAAGAGCCGCTGAGTTCATCCGAAGGCGAAACTACTTTGATAAATCTAAGTGTTATGAATGTGGGAAAAGGGGACACTTAAGTTATGCCTGTCCTAAAAATATGCTTAGAGAATGTGAACGTGCAAAGAAGAAAGAAAAAAAGAAAATTTCGGAATCAGAGGAAGAAAGTTTATTTACTTATTTTTTTGCAGTTTTTGGCTGGGGCTGGGTTTGAACCTGCCACCTCCAGCATATGGGGCTGGGACCTTACTCCTTTAAGCACAGGGGCTGCCCCAGAGGAAGAAATTTTGTTTTAATAATTTAGTACAGAAGTAGGAGAAAGTGAAGATGAGGGGGAAGATCCTACTCTGGACAGCCTCAGTCAGGCCATCGTGTTCCAGCAAGCCAAAATTGAAGAACAACAAAGAAAAGGGAAACACAGTTCAGGGGACCCCTCAACGCCAGATGATTCAAGACTCCCGAGGATAAAGAAAAGCAACTACTTCAGTGATGAGGAAGAACTTAGTGATTAAAATGTTATTTTTTATGTAAATATAATCAAAATGTTAAAAGTCTTGGAGCACCAAAAAAAAAAAAAAAAAAAAAGTGGACAGGAAGTACTGCTTAGATTTAATTAATGAGAACCAAACCAGTTAAATAAATATAAAGCAACCAAGGGTCTCTATTTTTTATTTGAAGTTTAAAGACTTTCATGATCACAGTCTGAATACCCTAAGTCTTATGAAATTTCCCTAAGAGACAACATTCCCCACTATGATAAAGTAAAGCCCAAACACTGCCCACTAAGAGCCTACCAAAACTGCTGTTTTTACATAAAACATGTATTGATGATGGCTCAGCACCTCTAGCTCAAGAAGCTAAGGCGCCAGCCACATACACGAGAGCTGGCGGGCTGCAGTCCAGCCCGGGCCTGCCAAACAACAATGACAACTACAGCCAAAAAATAGCCAAGGCGTTGTGGTGGGCGCCTGTAGTCCCAGCTACTTGGGAGGCTGAGACAAGAGAATCGCTTAAGCCCAGGAGTTGGAGGTTGCTGTGGATTGTGATGCCACAGCACTCTATCCAGGGCGACAGCTTGAGGCTCTGTCTCAAAAAAAAAAAAAAAAATGTATGGCCTGTTTCACAAGACCCAATGGTGCTCTGAAAGAATACTCCAGTTCAGTCAGTGGCCTCTCATTCAGAGCTCTCTCTCCTCTTTTCATAGTTCCATTAAGGATGATCAAACTAAGAGAGAGCGCTTAAGGGTACACTGGGACCAGCTCTACTTTCTAACCACAAAAAAAAAAAAGAAAGAAAGAAAGAAAAACTCTACAGAAAGCAACTCAACTGCCTTACACAGACTCATGATCAAAATCAGTTTCACCAAAAAAGATATAAGAAATTCTTCAATCTGGGATAAAATTCACCGCTCAATCGGGGACACAGACACAGGGAGGGCCCCAGGAAAGCCAGGTCCGGGGGGAAAGAGATCTAGTTCAGGCAGATTCAGACTATTAATTGGCTACAAGATAATTGGCGCCCCAAACTAATTTCCTCATCTGCAAAAAGACAACAATGACTCCGCTTTTCAAAATATCCGAAGCGCTAACAAAACCGTAAAAGAACTTTAAAGAGGAGCTCGGAGTGGGATGATCTCAAGTTACTCGAACTACTTCTAGTAGGAGGGCAAGCAGGAGCCTCGCGAACATTACCTTGACCAGCCACACTCCCGTGTTCTGTTTAGCTCCAGTCAGGTCGAGTTCCCCGCGCTCAGCCATGGGTCTTTCGCCAGTAGCGGCGGGTGAGTCAAAGCAGAAGCCCCTAGATCTGGGGTCCTGTTGCGCGAGTGTCCAGAGCAAAGGGCGAGCCCCAAGAGGAGGCCAACGGTGAAGAGCCGGCGCCGCTCACCTGCCGGGATACAGGAAACCTAGGGAAAGAGGAACACGCCGCTATGGGCCAGCACTGCGCCTGCGCACGGCCACCATCAGTACGGCGCGCTGTTGCGGACAAATTTCCTCTTACGGCCCTCTCTTGTGGGGGTGTGGCTATTGGTGATTGATCTCTGAGAGATTAAAAATTAGGATGCGATGAGCCAAAACATCAGCAATCCATTTAAAAAACAAAACAGCAAGAGTAAGAAAAAGAGTATCAAAACGGAAAAATGGGGTTCAGAGAGACAAAAGTTGTCAGTATATGCCCAACTCTAGCCAAGAAGAGAAAGATGATATTTGAAGGACATGGCCAAGGTAATACATTCGCATTCTTGGCCCAACGTCATTAGCATAAATGGGCTCTGGGATCGGACTGAGTAGCCTGGATATACTAAAAACATGAGGTTTCTAGACCTGAAAAGAAAGCTGTGTCACAATTCAGAGGCTCCCCTAGACCCTTCGGGTCAGGCAAGCAGAGCACATTCCTTACAGGCTCCAAAACCAGGATGCCAATGAAGATGCAGACATAGAAGAGACAGATCTGATGTTTGGTCCCAAATTAAACAGTTTCCTGTTTTTCTTCTTGCCTCTAGAATAAAATTCAGCCCTCTCTACTTCAGCTGGGCCCTCTCATTTTGATCCCTTTGCACTTAGCCCACCACACACCCAACACACCAAACCCAGCAGAGATCCCTGACTGAACATTCCAGGATCTTCCTTGATCATTTCAGAGCCCCTGTTCTCTCAAAATCCCTTCCCTCAAAAGACCACTTTTCCCCCTTATCTCACTCCCTTAGTTGGCAGATTCTTACGTGTTGAGACTAACAGAAATGTCACTCCTTTAAGACCTTTTTTTAACTCCCCCAGAGAAAGTTAGTTGTTCTTCACATCATTGTATGATACTTAGCACACTGCATTGTGATACATACATGTTCACATGTCCGCCTCCGTTTTCCAGACTATGCACTCCTCCCAGGTGGAAATAGTACTTTTCCTGCCAGCTTTATTGAGGTATATTTGACAAAAAATAATGTTTTTTCCATTTTATATCCAAACCGTCTAGAACAGTGTTTGACATATTGTCGGATTTCAGCAAGCTTTGGTTGAATGGATTTTGGATGAGGAGAAATGAACAGTAAGGAAATGTTCAAAACTGCAAGTAACTGGGGCCTGGCTTGGTGTCTCAGGCCTGTAATCTCAGCACTCTGGAAAGCCCAGGCAGATGGATTGCCTGAGATCATGGAGTTCCACACCAGCCTGAGCAAGAGCTAGACCCCATCTCTAAAAATAGCCAGGCGTCAAGGTGGTCCACATAGTCCCAGCTACTCTGGAGACTGAGGCAAACCAATCACTTGAGACCAAGAGTTGGAGGTTGCAGTAAGCTATGATGCCATGGCACTCTACCCAGGGCGACAGCTTGAGGCTCTGTC